GTTTTTACCAGATAAAATTTGAAAAAGCTTTAATTGTTTCTGTCTGTTTTAAAACTAATCCAATCCAATCCACTTTATTTACATAGCATGATTTCAATAAACACAATGTTTCCAAAGTGCTGCATAAAAAAGATAAAATAACTAAAATAAATAAAAGTAAATAAATAAAATAAAAGCACTGCCCGCACAGGATAAAAATATGCATGTGTATCATTAATTTGAGTTGTACTTTAAGGAAAATTTTCAATTAGAAAATAAACCAAGGTTTTTATGTGCATTGTAGCGATATGTGTGGCAGTAATATGACAAGAGGGTAATGGCATACTGTAGGGATCATGACCATTCTGGAAATGAAGCGGACATGAGCTTTCTATGCAGGTCAGGTTGTGTCTTAGGGATAAGATCAGAAGTTTAATCAGTCACAGATATTTCAGAGTAGACTCTGAACTTATGGAGCAGAAGTTCAGGTGGTCCTGGTTGAAGCTGGTCTAAGGGATGGATGAGACCCTATACCAGACAAACAAACACCTACAATGGATACAATGGACTATTTATCAATTATGGCCTGAAAAATACAGTAGATATTATTTAATTGCACAGTAGCAGCTACAGACACCTGGACTTCATACATGTCACCTCTAGGTGGCGGTATCAACCATGTTTGACATGTTCACAGGACAAGTGGACAATGAATCCTCTTCTCTAAACGAAAAAACTGCAGCATAAAGGGATTTTTTGCATATATAAAGACAATTACCTCTCACATTTTCAGTTGTCATTTGCTGTTTACTCTTAGATTTATTAGGGGTGCACTGAGTGCTCTTTAGCAGATTCCAGCCTCTTTGGCAGAGCTATTAATATCTGTGCTGGCAGCAGTATCATCAAATCAATATTATCCAAATTTAATTTTATTCTGTACAACAAGGTAGACAAATAAAATGAATAATGTCTTCCTTTAAATGCAAAATGTAAAGTTTGTATTTTTATGGACATAAAGTAGATGTCCTTTATAAGGGACTGGATGGAGTTTGATGCTTGCTATAAAAACAATAAAAAGTCATCAGAGGTTTACTTTAATGTTGAAGGAGACCAGAAACGTCTCCCAGCCTCTCAGAGAAGTCAAGCAGCAAAGATTCAGCCAAAAATAAAAGTAGCTCACTAGGAAACCTGTATTACTCACCATGTAATCTCTTTCTGCAGATGCCATCTACATTTAAATAAAAAATACAGACAAATAATTTCTAGATCAGTTCTGGTTTTGTCTGTCCGTTAAAAAGAAACAGCTCTACCTAAAAGATCTGCCTTTCCTCTATTACAGATACTTTACATTTTCTGAAGAAAAAAAAAAAAACGACCCCTGTATTAGGTATCTAGATACAGCTGATAGCAGTTATATACGTTTGTCACATCTACAACAAACCATGCATTTTGCTGTTTATATTCTTATTTTTACAAAGCAATATTTTTCTGAATCTAGATGCATATCGAAGGATTTTGTTATCAAATGTTGGTCCAGCACTTAATAATGTAGCTAAACCCCAATATTCAACAGATAAAAAACTAAACATTCACAGAGCACTTTTAATATGAAAAATGTGAAGTACTTCACAAAGGTGCATCACAAATCAATAACTGAGTTTATTAAATAGTGATACCAACACAAAACCAGAGATGTTGAAGCAGAACCACAGATGAAATTGTGATTATAAGTTCTTTTAAAAGGAGGAATGATCCCTGACTTCGTTTTTTTTGTTTTTATTCCAAATCATAAGAGCCTGAGGTCTTCACTTCAGATTCTACATGTCCTCATATGAGCTGACCAGTGTCATACATTCTGCTGGATGTTCATTCCCATACAATCTGCTCTGGGGCTACAAACAACTTTAAAAAAAAAAATAATCATCATATCTGAGAACTAATGAACACAGAATTCAATTTATTCCCTGAGGACCTGGCAGTGATGGTTTATAGCCCCAAAGGGATTACTCCCACTCCCTGGCCAGCTAACAACATATCAGTTAGAGGTTAATTCTATCATATAATATACTATGGGATATGATATTAAAGAGTGAACCCCTAGTAGGAGAATGTAAAGCCTTTGAGATGCCATCCTTTATTGCACTAGCACAATGTCACACAGTAATATAATTAATTCCATCCTGAAGTTTGAGTCTTTATTTTCAGTGATAAAAAAAACCTATGACTTAATGATTGATTTAAACAAAACTCGTTACATTTTAATCCTTGTGGTCCCCTAAAAAAAAAAAGTTTTTCTGTTGTAATTTACAGATTTACCTCTGTAAGGAAAAGGCAGCAGGACAGGAAAAATAATAAAACAGTCCCCAAAGTTTATTGTTAGATAATCACAGAAATGGGTGACATCAAGGGGGCAATCTCAATAAGATGCTGTCTACATGATAAGCATTTACTTTGGAGGTATGCCAGGAAAACAGCACTCTAGCAGTCTAAAAGGTCAAGCATGTGGAGATTTGGGAAATGTGTACTTTGGCTAGATGAGACTTTTTAGCAGAAAAAAGCTCCAGGGAGTTTTGATGCGAGGCAAAGCTTGAATGTAAAGAAAAATATTTGCACTCCGAAACACAAAGGAGGATGTGTGATGCTGTGGGACCGTCCCTCTTCTAAATGTACTGGAATGTTTAATTGAAAGAACAGCTTAATGAGTGACATCAAGCATGCATTAATCCATGTCTGCCTCACGGACTAAAACTGGCAGTTGGTTCCACAGGAGAGGAGCCTAAGAACTTAAAGATCTGCCTCCCATTCTACTTTTAGAAATTCTAGGAACCACTAGTAAACCTGCAGATTGAGAGCCAAGTTCTCTGTTAGGGGCATAAGGAACAATCAGACCTCTCCCTACAATCCATTGAAGTGTATTTAATTGCTAGGAAAGAAGATTCAAATATAAACTTTTTTGCTGTTTCAAATACAGAAGATTTTCTTTTTTGCTGCCTTCTTTTTTAAATCTCAGGCATATCTATGTTAAGAAAAGTCTTTATTGGCAGGTCAAATGTATACACTTCTTATGGGTAGCAGCAGCGCAATACAATTTCCAAAAAGTCTTTGGTATTTACCTAATCATATTTAGCTACTTTAACATAATTGTTTAATGTTATCAGGGTATGACATAAAACAATAGTGTTAAAGTAGGTAAATGTCATTAAGTAAATGCCAAAAGTGGGTGCATTATTTTTTTTCAGTGTGCCTCTGGGCTGCAGGCTACGGAAGAGGATTAGGGCCACTAAAAAAAACAAACAACAAAAAACAGATTTTTAAATATTATTTCAGTTTAATATGGGAAAAAGTTTAATCTCTGAGTTTAATCTCAGAATTCCTAATTTCTTCTCAGAATTCTCACTGTAATTTCAGAATTCTGATTTTTTTTTCTCAGAATTTTGACTTTTTCTCAGAATTCTCACTTTAATCTCTGAATTTTGGATCTTAATGTAGATGGGCACCATGAAGGAAGAGAAGTGGGAGCACTCAGCTTCACTGACAAAGATGTGAGTTGTTTTTGAGGGCCAGTACAACATTGATGGAAAATGACAGAATTAGGTGATTTTTTTTTCATGCCCGAGGGATCCCTGGTGATGCTATTTCATTAATGGAAGAGCAGAAGGTGATTAAAACAAGAGAGCTAGTCTCTAAAACAGACATGGCTAGAGCTTGATGCTAACATGTTTGTTAGCTTTCAGAATTCAGAGATTAAAGTAAAATTGTTGAGATTAAAGTCGGAATTCTGAGATCAAAGTCAGAATTTTTTTAGATTAAAGTCGGAATTCTGAGATCAAAGTCAGAATATTTTTAGATTTAAGTCGGAATTCTGAGATTAAAGTCAGAATTTTTTTAGATTAAAGTCGGAATTCTGAGATCAAAGTCAGAATTCTGAGATTAAAGTCAGAATTCTGAGATTAAAGTCAGAATTTTTTTAGATTAAAGTCGGAATTCTGAGATCAAAGTCAGAATTTTGAGATTAAAGTCAGAATTCTGAGATCAAAGTCAGAATTTTTTTAGATTTAAGTCGGAATTCTGAGATCAAAATCAGAATTTTTAGATTAAAGTCAGAATTTTTTTAGATTAAAGTCGGAATTCTGAGATCAAAGTCAGAATTTTGAGATTAAAGTCAGAATTCTGAGATCAAAGTCAGAATTTTTTAGATTAAAGTCGGAATTCTGAGATCAAAATCAGAATTTTGAGATTAAAGTCAGAATTTTTTTAGATCAAAGTCGGAATTCTGAGATCAAAGTCAGAATTCTGAGATTAAAGTCAGAATTCTGAGATTAAAGTCAGAATTTTTTTTAGATTAAAGTCGGAATTCTGAGATCAAAGTCAGAATTTTGAGATTAAAGTCAGAATTCTGAGATTAAAGCCAGAATTCTGAGATTAAAGTCAGAATTTTTTTTAGATTAAAGTCGGAATTCTGAGATCAAAGTCAGAATTTTGAGATTAAAGTCGGAATTCTGAGATTAAAGTCAGAATTTTGAGATTAAATACTCCCCCCCCCCCATATCAAACAGAAATAAAATTAAAAAATCAGTTCACTTTTCTTTTTTTTTTCAGTGACCCTTATCCTCTTCCACAGCAGACCCCACCTTGGAAAGATCATTCTTTTTGTGTACCCCAACCCTCTAAAATGTTGTAGGAGGATTGACCAATATTGGGAAAATGCAGCTTTATATAGGCTAGTTTAAACGGCACATGAGTCTTGCTGAAAGTAATTTTGTAAAAATAATACATGGTTCAGTTTTCTTTTTATGTTTTTTTCCAAATAAATCAAAGAATATTCCTGCTGTTTTGCATGGGAACATGGGTGTGGTAGAAAGATTCCAGGATAATAAGGATAAAAAGAGAACAACTGAAGGAATAACAGATCCTTTGAGTGATAATGTGACAGTTATTTGGGGTCATCGCAGTTGGGAACCGATGATTTGGCTCCAAGATGTGAAGAAATAAGTGTTGAGACAGCAGTAGCAACACATTGTGATGAAAAATGTAGAATCCACCCAAGAGGGGAGACAGAAACGGAGTGAGAGCAGCACAGAGAGCAGAGTTATACCAAAGCAAACCATCACACCGCTTGTGCGTGGTGAACATTTCGGCGCTTCTAAAACAAAAAGGATAAAATAAAAAAATAAAAATCTCGGATCTGGGCTGACAGGAGGAAACTGGAGAAAGAGGCGAACCGGATCGACGCTTTAAAAAGCCGCCTGCTGCAGCTGATTCTTTAATTATTATTTTTGGATAAAGGGGGGGAGGCCAGTTTGCCGGTATTTTTATCTCTCCTCCCGCTTCAAAGCCGCCGGTATGAACAACTTGATGCGCTGAAGGTAACGCCGCTGAATTTTCTTTTTCCATTTCCTTTTCTTGCATCAATTTGATGCTGCGTGAAGCGATGATGCTGCTGATGCTGCTGCTGCATCGGTGGGCTTTGAATGTGTGAATCCTGCACGGGACTCTCCTCCTTGGCAATGGAAATCAGAGCCACCTCTTTATTTCTCTGCAATAATTACTGTGACAATAATAAATATGGCTTATTTTGGTGAATGGGGTGAGGGTGCCAGTGGCTGTGATTTTGTATCTCCTGCTGCTGCAGCTCCTCAGCTCCAGACAGACTCAAGTAGCCTCAGCTGAAGAGGGGAAAAAACATAAAACAGCAAGCTGGCAAGTGCTGTATCACCCAACGCAAGCCAAAGGAGCTGCTGCATGTATGAGGGAAAGGGCATCCATCACACCAAGGAGCAGGGGCTTCCCAAGAACCGCCACATCCACACATTCGTCTGAGGACTGCTGAGAGCTTACAGCCCCCTCCTGATGGTTGTTGGAGGGCAGCCCTGATGCATCTTGTGCATGTGAAAACTCTCATTTTGCCATCGCTGTATCAACAGAAAGCAGACGGTGACTCTGTGTGTGTCATGTTAGAGGCTGGACTCTTGCCTGCTCACACCAGCTCTCTGCCAATATCTCTGACCTGCCCTGTCTGAGCCCTTTGTATGAGCATCTCCACCAGTGGTTTGTAGACATTACCTGTTGTCTAAGGATCAAACAACAACAACAAAAAAACAGACTCCTCACATTTCTGTCAGCGTAGGACAGAGCAGAGGTCAAGATGCAGGTCTCCTTCGCATGCACTGAGCACAACCTGAAGAGCCGCAGTGAGGACCGTCTCTGTGGCCTCCGCACCGCCCCACCTCCAGGAGGAAGCAGTGGTGGAGGTGGTGGTGGCGGTGGTGGATCAGGAGGGGGCAGTGTTGGAGGAGGAGGTGGTGGTGGACAGGGGGGTAACGGTAACTACTCCTCTCAAGGGTCTGTGAAGAACAGGGAGGGCTCCGGGTCCCGCCAGACTCCACAGGGCCATGCCCACATGAAGGAGGCCATCGGGCGCCACAGCAACATGAAGTACAGGTGAGGATTGGGGACGTGTGCTTCAGGGGTGAAGGCTTGGCTCACATCAACAGGGTATCCCTTCAACCATTACAGAGGGACTGATTAGAGATTTGCTTTGACTTACTAATGCACTGATTCCAATTTCTCTCAGAGAACTTGCCTTTCTAGCCCTCCTGCTGTGAGCAGTCATTAATTTTTGCTACTACTGGGAAAGGTGAAGCTACACCTTACCACTTTGTGTGTGGAAAGCATAGTGTGAGTCCATCCTTTTGGCACCTCCCCTGCTGCTTTAAACACAACAAAACTTACTGACTCACTGGAGGATGCCCTGCAAAAACTAAAATGGTTTTACCACATCTAACTTTTCATCAACACTAAATAAATTGATAAAATAAAAGCAGCTCAGGTGTTTTACTTCCTAAAAAGAATCATCAACATGCAGCCATTTTAACTTTCATCAAAAGTCTAATTTTTTTCCAACATTTCATCATAAATAGCCCACCTGCAACACAGTAAACCTCACCTTGCTATGCTTAAACTCTGCATTACTCTATACTTACAGAGGACAGGCTGTATGGTAATAGAGTCAGATTTTGTTGGATGCTTGAGCAACAACTTACAATTCTTGATGGTAAGTTCAGAGCCGGCTCAAGCTTTAATGTGGCCCTAAGGGAAATAAAATTTTGTGGCCCTCTATTTCTGCTGTCTGATGATCAGATCAATAACACACCCACTATAGACTCATTGCAGATCTGGTATGGGCATTTATAGTCTTCTATTTCTATGAACCTTGTATTGTTGCTAAAAGAAATACAATAAACTAGTATATAGTTTATTCACTGTTAAAGGTTCACATGATTTATTATTTTTGGGTGCAACTGAAACAGCAACGTGCAGAAATAACCTGTAGTGCAAAAATTGTTTTCATACATGAAAATAACAAATTTAATTATACAAAAACAAACTTTATTAAATAATAGATACTTATATCTATTATTTAATCTGATAAAGCCTCCTATAAAAATTAGTTTGTAATTCGGGCACCGTAAGCTTAATTAGCATGGCTTATTTTATTCCAAAAAACACGATCATCATGTAAAATCCACCTATTTTGATATGTTCAGATTTTCTTTGTGTGCAATTAAATAATCATTAACAGTTATGTTTTAGCATCAAATATTTATTTTTAGATGCATCTTTACTTCCACTGATGTCATCTTCAAAGACCTCCCTGATACCGATAGCTAAGTTTGGCCCCTTCTTCCCTCTGTAACAGCTTCCTCTTAAAAGGACCACTAAACGTTGTTATCAGCAGTTAGCCGAGGTCACTAATGCTGATAGTAAGTGGAGAGGCTCCACTTTAACTGATGGCTAGTCAAGGCATTTCAACCAAAGCAATTTAAAATGTTCACAGTGAGATAACATACCTTTCAATAGAGAGGGCTGGGAAGTTTACACTGTTGTTCTCAGCCGAACTACGTCTGCGTTGTAACTCATCTGTCTTTGCTTTGTTTGCCTTTTTTTCTACCATTATCTGTCTATATTTTCAATAGAAGAACAAGACACCAAGGTGAAGGGAAAATCTTGAGAAGACCAATTTTAAAAATCTATCCGTCTCCTTGTAGAGAAGCTGGTGCCAACCAGTATCTACTGGGTGATTCATGGGCAAAACCCTGGACATGTTGCTATTCCATCACAACACTAGATTGTGGGAGAAAGTACACAGAGATAAACTTTGCATGTGCAAGAAAAAAAAAGGAAAGTTGCAAACAGAAAGAGCCCATAGGCTCAGATTTGAACCTAATATCTTGTGGTTGCAAAGCCATAGTAACAACAACCCTGCCACCATGCAACCCAGCCATAGATCATTTTTAAACAGTCCTTATGCTCCACTTTCAAACTGACCCAGTTGCCTATTTTGAGAGTGGTTGTCATTTCCAAAACGAAATAAAAAAAATGGCATCTTCTTCCACTTTTTCTCAGGCAGACTAATCAATCCAGGAAGCCTCCGTCATTCGTTTCTTAAATTCGCAAACAGGGACATCGATTGGCTGAAAGGATAGTGGATACCTAATGGTCTCTTGCAAGACTTGGCCTCTTAGCCAGGTCTCCCTCGAAAAAGAGATTTCATCTCAAGGGACTTCCTGGTAAAATAAAGGTTAAATAAATAAATAAAATAAAGACTTTAGACAGTTAATTTCCCCTAATTTTGCATTGTTTCCTACCAATCTGGACATGCTTGATAATTCAAGCTGCTGGCGTAATTTTTATGCTTTTCAACAAAATCACATCTTTTTATTATAGTTCAGCTAATTGCTACTGATAGTAAGAGAATTCAAAAATTCAACTTATCCCTTTAGTTTCATAAACCAAAGGGGTGCCTAACAAGAAAAGTGTGGAAACCCCTTCCTTAAGCTTTAAAAGATCCCCAGATTATTCAATTGCATATAACAAGATTTGTGCAATTTAATGCATTCATGTTGCATTCAAGTATGTCCCGTATTGTCTTGTGAATACCAGCCTAATTTAGCACAACAAAGGATGATAGAGTGACACTAACTCTGGCTTTCTTAAACAGCAATCTGCACACATGTGGAATAATTCGTGACAACTTCTCTTCAAATTATAATAATTTATTCAGGCAAATAAAATACAACTCCAAGATAAACATATTCCAGTGGACAACCCTTTACCTAAGCTAGTGAAATGACTACTAAAACAAAAGATATGATTATAGAACACTGTGTATAAAAAGACAACCTGAAATGTATTTATGCAATGATATCAAAGGTCAGTTTCAATTTCTATGTCTGACTTGAGAAATTTGAAATATTGTTCAAAGTAGCTTTAAAATATTTCAGGATAACAATAAATAAGTTTTCTACTTCACAATACAAATACAATATTTATCAAATAATATTGAATAATAACATTTTAGAGATTTGACTCTTAATAATGTGTTGAATAGCTCTATGAAAGATCAAACTGTGTGATGAGGTCATAAAGTGGTGAAGAGAAGCTGCCTTAAAACGCTAGTGATGTAGAGATCGACAGAGGAACGTGCGATACCATACTACTGAGCTACCATTAAAGTTTAAAAGATACAATTTACCATTATTAATATTGCTATTGATAATAATGGCACATTCTATTGCCCCAGGTAGTTAATGAGCTGGTTTTGAGCAGTTTAGTTTAATGAAAACACAAAATAATATCATATCTGTTTTTTAACCCTCATTAAAATAAAGTGTATCACAACTTTTTAAATACATAAAAAAAAAAGCAAAATGGTTAGCAGCACGAACCATTGAATAAATGGCTCAGTTAACACGCCCTTGTCTGATAGCATGGAGCTGCAGCTGGGCTTGGACTGGCTGATTGGTGGTCGTGGCTTTGCTCTAGTTTTTGGAAGCATCTGCATGAATTGCAGACAGACAGGCAGCAGGGCTGCAGTTCCCACACTGACCTCTGCACTGGCACATTTGTGGAAGAAGTAACGTGTTTCACACATCCTGCCTTTGCTTGGCTCTACTTCTTTTCCACTGTAGAAAGAAAGATTACAGAAAGTATGTCTGTGGTTGGCTGCTTTGGTCATTGGCTGTACTAAAAACAGACCAAGGGCTGCCTAACTTTGAAATCCAAATTGGAAAAGATTCTCTGACTTACCATCAAGTTGTAATTGGACAGTTTGTAGGTTAACTGACATGAAACCTGATATTTGACTTATTGAATATTTCAACAAAGTTAAATAATAATTTACTTCAGCATAGAAGGCCATTGTTACTCTCTACCCATATGCATTTGAAATGCATTTGAATGAGGAAGGAATAAATAAATAAAAACAGCCCTGATTTTTTTTAGGGCGTAGTTCAATTGAAGATGAACATGGTATATTTTCAGGAACAGCTTTAAAAAAAGTTGCGTCAACACAAACGTACACAGCATCAGTGGAGACGTAGCAGTATATATGCTACCCTGTTTGGTGGCACTGCCACAGAATTACACCCAAGGCACTGACAAAAACACTGGGCATGCACAGATAGCTCATCTGAGGTAAGCGCTGCAACATAAAGAGTTGTATGCGGCTACAGATAGAGGATGAGCTACAAGGTTTCATTGTGGACATGTAAGCTGCATGAAACTGACGTTCTTTGATTTTACCACTTTGGGATCCTCTTTCAAAAATAATGGTTTATGCTCTCCCAAAATGTTGGCTTCATTTGGATAGACAGCTTGAACTGTGTTTGCTGTTTCACTTAATCTGGTCTCCATTTGGATAGATCCTAAAGTAACCACAATAAGTTAGTTTTGGGTGTTGCTTCCAAAAAAGGCTGCTTAAAGCTTTATAAAGTTCTGTTAAAAGATAGTAATGGCCAAATATCTCAACTAGAATGCAATGCAAAAAGAATGCTACTTAAGTGACACCCCCAAACACCAGACATCATTCAGACGTTCATTTTTAGGCTAAATATGGTCCTAAATCCATCTGAGATTTGATTCAGTCCAGAAACAATTGTTGAAAGTTGGGCTCTCTTAGGTCGGTCCGATTTAATCCCACTTTAGTCCAATAATAGACATTGAAAAGATGTTGAAAAGTCAACATCTTTTAAACAAGCTGAAAATAACAGCTTTTTACTTTTCAACCAAATGTAGACGTTTGGACGTGAATCATATAAAACTGTAACTGGAGCGTGTAACAAAAGTAATTTCCCTCTGGGATTATTAAAATATTTCTGATTCTGATGACGTCTTTTCTTTATGCTCGGTGGAAATTCTTCAAGAAAATATTGAGAATACATTCTAAATCAGGATTTAAATATAGATATAAGAATTACATAGAATAAAGGTAATTTAAATGTAGGAACCAGGACAAAACAGTCCAAGTAAATCTAACAAGACTTTTTGTAGACCGCATCCAAACAAAAAAAACACAGGCATTTGGTGAGTTCAAGCCTTCTATGACAATAACACTCAATTTCCCAGTCGGGTCTTGTTATTTACCATTTCTACCAGTCTTT